CCGGGCGCTGGTGGCTCACGCCTGTAATCCTAGCTACTCAGGAGGCTGAGATCTGAGGATCGCGGTTCAAAGCCAGCCCGGGCAGGAAAGACCGTGAGACTCCTATCTCCAATAAACCACCAGAAAACCCGGAAGTGGCGCTGTAGCTCAAGTGGTAGAGCGCTCGCCTTGAGCTGAAGAGCTGAGGGACAGCGCCCAGAGTTCAAGCTCCACGACCGACAAAAAAAAAAAATAAAGAAAATTCCTAATTTCAAAACCTAAGAGTGGAAAAGAGAATCAAGATCTTAAAAAAAAAAATAACCAATGATTTAAAAAAATAAGATTATATTCTTACCAGTAAATTGCATCGTTGCCCCTAAATATGAGTCCACAATTGATCCTAGTAATCCAGCTAGACCTCCAAAAGCAATAATGGGCCACTGGGGAGCAGAGATGTCTAAATCATTCACAAAAACCAGTTGTGTGAGGAAGTAAGCGAAGCCCACAAAGGTACCACCAAGGAGACTGGAAGCAAGACCCACCATTGTAATGCCACCATTGGTCCCTGAAGGAGAAACATGCATAAATGATATGTTAAGAATCAGCAAAGTCAGCTGGGTGCCAGTGGTTTACACCTGTAATCCTAGCTACTCAGGAGGCTGAGATCTGAGGATCACAGTTCAAAGCCATCCTGGGCAGGAAAGAGCTCAGGAACAGTGCCAAGGCCCAGAGTTCAAACCCCATGACTGATCAAAAAAAAAAAAATCAGCAAAGCAAGACTAAGTTATTATCTATTTTATTTATTTATTTATTTATTTTTTGGGTCCGGTCATAGGGCCTGAACTCTGGGCCTGGGCACTGTCCCTCAGCTCTTCAGCTAAAGGCTAGTGCTCTACCACTTGAGCCACAGCGCCATTTCCAGCTTTTTTCTTTTTGCTTATGTGGTGCTGAGGAATCGAACCCAGGGCCTTGAGCATGCAAGGCAAGTGCTCTACCACTGAGCCACCTTCCCAGCCCTTATTCTCTATTTATTAACAATATTTTAAAAGGAAAGAGTTCTCTGATTTTAACTGCTAGCTAAAAATTGTACATATTTAAGGTATACCATGAAATATTTCAATAACTGTACACAATGTTTCATGTTCAAATCATGGTAACTATATATATCTACTCAAACATTTATCACTGCCTTATGGAGAAAACATTCAAAATTCTTTCTTCTACCTGATCACTATTCTACTCTTAACTTCCATGAGATCAACTATTTTATGAAATCACATGTCAAGAAGATTATTAGAAAGAATTCTCTAGAGCTGAGGGGTAGCTCAGTGGTACAGTACTTGCCTAGAATGCACAAAGCCTCGGTTTGATCCATAGCTCCAAGATAAAAATTCCTCAGTTCTTTTTTTTTTTTTTGGGTGTGGTCATGGGGCCTGAACTCTGGGGCCTGGGCGCTCTCCCTCATCTCTTCAGCTAAAGGCTACCCTTGAGCCACAGCACCACTTCTGGCTTTTTTCTTTTTGCTTCTGTGGTACTAAGGAATTGAACCCAGGGCCTCATGCATGCAAGGCAAGCGCTCTACCACTGAGCCACCTTCCCAGCCCCCCAGTTCTTTATTATATAATCTCAAGATAATAGTCTATTTAGAAACTAGTCTTTCTCCTCAGTAAAGCATTTGAAGTGGAATGGTTCAGTGGAACCTGAGTGCTACTCCTCTGTGCTTTAGTTTCTTTGTTTGCAAGACAGAAATAATAAGGGAAGCTGGGCACTGGTAGCTCATGCCTCACAGGAGGCTGAGATCCGAGGATTACTGTAATCGGAAGCCAGCCTAGGCAGAAAAGTCTGTGAGACTCTAATTCCATTGGAAAACCAAAAGTGAACCTGTATGGCTCAAGTGGTAGAATGTTAGCCGTGAGCAAAAAAAGATCCAGGGACAGCATCCAGACCTTGAGTTCAAGCTCCATGACCACCCCCCACCAAAACAACAACAACAAGAAAAGAATAAATTTACCAGGCATGGCATATGGCTGTAATCCTAGTTACTCAGAAAGCTGCAATTTGGAGGATTACAATTCAAGTCCAAACCTGGAAGAAAAGTTCTATAGACTCCATCTCCAAAATAACCAACATATTAGAGGTATGTCTCAAGTCTCAAGTGGTAGAGCACCAGTCTACCAAGCCAGAGGCCTAGAGTTCAAAACCTAGTACCACCCAAACAAACAGAAACAATAACAAGCACTAATTTTGTAGCAAGTCCTTAAGAAATACACCATTATTCTGTTTCCTTGCCTTCTTCATTGGTAAGTATGTTGGTCAATCTCTGTACTCCTGTAGGATTTATATAGGTCTAATTTCTTGCACTTATTACTATTATATTATAAACCAATTTTGGAGAGGGGGCTGGGACTCAGAGCTTTTTTGCTCAAGGCTAGTGCTCTGCCACACCTTCATTTCCAGTCTTTTGTTTGTTAATGAGACAGAAGAGTCTCAAAGACTTTCCTGACTGGGCTGTCTTCCATCCAGATCTTAACCTTCTGAGTAGCTATGATTACAGGCATTATACCACTGCCCAGCTTATTATCACCAAATTAACAGTCCATCGTATTTTTCTAATTAGAAAGAACAGAGACAACTCTTAAAAGGCTTGTAAATAATTACAAGATTTGTTTGTTTTTGTATTTTTAAGGAACTCAAATCAAGACTCACCAACAGGAACTTTTTCCCATGTTGTTATCAGCCTTGGCGGGCTTTTACTCAGAACTGTGCCAATTTCAGAAGCCCAGGTATCTCCAGCACAGCAGGCTAGTGCAGCCAAGAGAGACAAACACATCCAGGAAGCAGTGTGCTGCTTGGAAAAGTCAATTGGCATCTCGCCAGGGCCATTTTCTATCATGTACAGCAGAGCCAGCTCTGTGGGCACAGCTCCATTACAGAACACCTGAATCCAATTCCTCTGCCCGCCTGGCAAAGAAGCAAGCATGTAAAAAAGACAGAACTGTTTTCTTCTCTGAAGGAAAATTATGCACTTATATAAACATCTATATTAAAATTTAAGAAAATGGACTACATTTTTAAAAGACAAAAAAAAATAGTATGACTTCATTATTGTTATTAACAGATCTAAAATGATTAATGATAGACTGTAATGTTTCTAAAATTCCACTGTTCTCCTTCTGGTAAAATAGATGACAAACTAAATTAGGCTACCAAATCATTTTCAAAGTTTATCTGTTTTGACAGTGTAAAACATGTTCTAATTAAGTGAAACAAAGTTTACCATCTTGAGTTATAATAAATGTAATTAGTTTTACCTTCTTTATATTCTGAGTCTAGACGCTTCTTTATTTCTCCCTTCCATTTTGTGAGTTTGGAAGAAGAAAGGAAAAACATGAGCAAAGAGGTAAAAAAGCTGAAGTTTGCAATGGTTAGGATAAATCCAACCACCAGCCCTGTAAGAAACACATAAATACAGAATTACACTTCATCCACATATGAAAGCTATGGAAAACAAATGGATTTTTAAAGTTACTTCCACATATATCTTGAATGTACATTCCCCAAACATTGGCATTTTACCAACTATGTTATCACCAAGCAGTAAACTGAATGTCATTTCCATAAAATTGACACAAAATTTAACATATTTTTGGTCCTTTCAAACAACGCCACACTTCAACTTCTGGCTTTTTGCTGGTAAATCAGAGAAAAGAGTCTCATGGACCTTTTTTTGTTGTTGGAGGTGGTTGTGGGGCTTGAATCCTCGGCACTGTGCCTCAGCCCTTCAGCTCAAGGCGAGTACTCTACCATCTAAACCACAGCACTATTTCTGGTTTTCTGGTGGCTAATGGTGATGAGTCCCATGGACTTTCTTGCCCAGGCTGGCTTTGGACTGTGATCCTCAGATTTTAGCCTTCTGAGTAGCAAGGATTACAGGCATGAACTACTGGCACCTGGTGACTTTCACTTTTTATATGTCAGGTGACTTGTATAATCTCTGAGAGGCAGAAAAGGGAAGGGCAGTTCTAAAATTTCATAGTAATTTAACAAACTAAAATCTAATCTGTTTCATATACAATCTGGCTAGAGAAAAACTATGAAAATCAGAAGGTTCACACCCTGTGTAGGACTTGAAGGCCAAAAGAAACAGGCAGATCTGTTGCACCACAATCAGAAGAGGAAACCGTGCAGACCTGACTTGCTGTTTCTCAGACTTTGTGCTCAATGACTACAAGTATAGGGCATGCCTGAACAATGATTTTTCCAGTTGGCCTTGTAGTTCTGCATTCTATCAGACTAATAACAATGGGAAACTCTCACATAGCTTTATTGGCTCTGATAAACTCAGTATATGACAGAGTGAGGCTTCTACTTTAGAAAGACTGAGCACCAGACTAGTGACTGAAAATAGGCTGTGCTGTTCTTGTGAAATCCTGCAGAGTATCAGCACTAATCTTTCCGGACAACTCGTTGCCGCCTAACAAAGGTTAGGTCTCTTCCCCTTGTAGCATCTCTTCTAGAAGGGGAGCAGAGGGGACTACACCTCCCCTGCTCATTGGCTGTCTACCCTGATGAGAAATGGAACATTTATGATAGTTGGATTTCAATCTACTTCATCCACTCTTAAAATCTTAAGTGCCTAGAATAGTATCGAGAATTCATATATTTGTACATATAACTATTTGATGACTATGAATAAAATAATAAACATTTTGACTATTTTGGCAAATGAAATTAAGTTAAAGCCTAACAACAAACTGTCCATCTTTACATGTCCAAAGAAAGCACTGGAATAACTACACAGAACTATGTTAACAATAAGTAGACAAATCTACTCGGAACAAATCACCAGCAGTACTTTAGAGCTGATGAGTACTTTTCCACTCCACCACTTCTTTTCTTTTTTTTGTGCTGGTACTGGAGCTTGAATTCAGGGCCTGGGTCCTGTCCCTTAGCTTTTCTGCTCAAAGTTGGCTATCTACCATTTGAGCCACAACTCCATTTCTGGCTTTTGGTGGTTAATTGGAGGTAAGTATCTCACTAACTTTCCTGCCTGTTTTGAACTACAATCCTAAGATCTTAGCCTCCTGAGTAGGTAGGGTTACAAGCATGAACAATGGGTGTCCAGCTTTCTCTCTAGCTCTAAAGTAACCCTCTCCTTATTCTGGGAATATTCTCTTTCTAGGATACAGGACTTCCATCTCAGTGTGCACCTGAAGTGTTGCTTTATCTCCTCCATTCTATCACCTCCTAGGTATATGGTGTCTCTGTGTCATGAAGGGCTCAAAATACCCCAGTCTTAAGGAAAGTTTTGTGATTCTTACTTCTTAATCCAAAATATACTAAATGCATGTAATAAACCTTAGTAAAATTCTAAATGACTGTGAATAGTAGTTATGGGAAGAAAACGTAGTAACTGGCATCAATAAAACACATATTATGCATGTGCCAGGTGTCATGCTACATTTGACAGGGATAACTCAAGGCTACAGACATATTATTCCTTCCTATTTACAGGTTAGAAAATTACAATGCTGAAAATTTAAATAACCTATCATCATACTCTAGGAAAGGATTTCCTACTATTATGACTACTTGGGATGAGTGTCACATTTTTTTAATCCTTAAATAAAGTCCCAAACAATACTATATTATAGAATAAACCTATCAGGAGAAGAGCCAAGGTTTAGAAATCAATATTCATCTGTTTTTGAATAAGCACTTGTTTTGTGTCTACTACTGTTCACAGAAGCATGGGACATAGAAGGATATGATACACTCTTAGTCCTCAAATTAATAAATGAGACATTAACATTTATTAAATAAATAATAGATAGTCCTTCCTAATGTGTTGATTTTTTTTGGGGGGGTCCAGTCATGGGGCCTGAACTCTGGGCCTGGGTGCTGTCCCTCAGCTCTTCAGCTCAAGGCTAGC